TGAGCAGCCGCCAGCTGGAGAACTCGGGAGCCTGAGAAAAGCTGCTGTGGGCCAGAGCGCCCCTGCGTGTCCTGTCTTGAGGGGACCCACACCCGTACAACACCTGCGGAGAACATGCCTGGTTTAGGACTGAGCCAGGAACCTGTATTCAAACTTCAGGAAGAGGACCGCGGAAGACCTTTTTCCCAGAACGGGAAGCTGTCAAGCAAACGTTTTCATTCAGGGATTTTTAGAATTAGACAGTTGTGGTTTCATTGTGTTCTCCAGTAATGTCGACTGGGCTCCTCCCGGTAATCAGAAATTTCTTTTAAAAGGTGAAACTATTGAGCCTATCTCAGTGCTGCCCTTCTAATTTATTATGCGGTAAACAGGACACCGGAAGAAAGTCTGCCGACCCTTCAGGAGATTCCTGGACCAGACAGACGTGCACACGCTCCCACGCTTGCTCCATAACCCCTGGGAGACATCACAAGCTCTGGGTAAGTTCATCTCTGCTGCCCAACTCTCCTGGATGGTTGCCAGGCGCTGGTGGGAGCAGAGGACTGAGGAGTGAAGCTCTCTGGGCACTGACATTAAAATTGGTGACACGGCATCTCCTAGGGCCTTTTAAAACATGGTGTCTGTCTTTGAACTCTTGAGTTTACTTTTTTACATCTTGCCCTGCTGATGATGGCACAGGCATTCATGTTTGGTAATCCCTTCCATTTTATGTTTATCAGTTAGCCAATCTCTTAAAAAAAAAAAAAAAAGCAAGCAAATCCTAAAGCTTTCCCTTTGGGATCTGGACATACTGTGGGGAAGCCTCGTCAGCATGAAGGTCAAGCAAAAGAATGTGTTCTGTCCCAGCCTCAGAGGAGTAGAAGACACACACAGGAGGTGGCAGATGGAGGGAAGGCTCTCAAGGCTCAGTCTCCCCTCTATGGGAGGGGACAAGTGAGCTACAGCAGAGAAGTGGAGGACAGCATTTTGCCCCCATTCTTTGCAGGATGACCCAGCAGCCTCCTTGGGCAGAGGGATGGCTGAGGTTAGGAACCTAGCTTTCTGGAGCTGATCTTGGCTCCTGCTGTGCTATGGGCCAGGCCCCAGAGGCTGCATTCCCTGAGGGGGAAATGTGGAAAGTGACTGAGTCCACAGCCAGGGGTTGGGGAAGGAAGCCCAAGTAGGCGGGGGACTAGGTGACCCTGCAGCTGAGGCTGTGGGGCAACAGCCCTGCCCAGAGTGGGGATGGAGGCTGAGACCAAGATTCAGAGGTGTCTACAGATGCCAGCAAAGGTGAGCTGAGGCTGGCTCAGCCAGGCAGCACCAGGTCCCGACCAAGAGGAGAGAGAGAGAGGAAAATGCAAGTTTCACCAGCCACATGCCTGGGTGGTGCAGGTCAGCCTCACCAGCTGGACCCGGGAGCCAAGAGTCCTCCTCCCCTCAGAGACCAGGGAGCATTCGGTGAGCACCATAAGAATTTCCTAGATGGCCCCCTTCCAGCATCACCCACGAGACGTGTAAACCACACATACTCCTTCCCCAGCCTGGGAAAAGTAGGGAGCTGGGGTGGAAATCTGAGAGACTGCGCATTTATTGAACTAGACCATTCACATGATTGCATCCCACCCCCCCGGACCAGGTCAGCAATGATTTCACTGGGTGGTTTGCTCCGTTTCTGGCAGGTCCAGACAGTGAACAATCACGAAGATCACATCAGGCATTGAGAAGAAATTAATCAATGTGGCCTTGTGGTCTGAGGAGCCCTAGTGAAGGTGTGTTCTCACCTCACCACCCCGGGCAGCTCGTCCTCCGTCCACCCTCCAATCAGTCCACGTTAGAGGAGACTGGGGCATCTCTGCCCTGTCCTCTCCTTGAACTAGGCCCAGGTTTCACATCCCGTGTAAGTGGACCCCAACACGGAGCACAGAAGGATGAGCAGACCAGACAGACACACGGAGTGCCACCGTCACTCAGGAGAGCTGTCACGGAGGGGAGCAGGTCCTTCTCCAGTCTGTCATGGCCTCCACGAGCCATGCCAGGCTCCATTCTCCTTTAACAACACAGGCCCCATTTTCCAGGGTCTGAGCCATGGAGCTTGGCTTCAGAAAACGGTGTAGCACCGTGCACTGCTGGAGAAAATCCCAGAACCGCATTTAGAGGCCACTATGCTTTCACAGGCTTCGTCGTCTCCGGGGGCCTCAGTGTTGTACAGACTGCTTTCTTTGGGGCTCTGGTCCCTTCTGCAGACACCCCAAGATTACGCCTCTCCCCCTGCATCCTCGACCATACACGGATCCCTTCCCTGCTGGCCAAAGCACATTCCCATTCTCAGGGGAGATCCTAGCAGGCACGGAGAGGGAGGGAGAAGGGCCCGTGCGCTGGAAGGGAGTGTGGGAGTCGCTGTCATGGCAACATCCTTCTGGTCCTCCACGCTGGGTCACTCAGCTCAGGCATCCGCCCAGCTGAAGGTCCTCGCTCTCTTTCCGGGAACAGATGTTGAGATAATTAAAACAACAACAGAACAAAAAACAGACCCAAACTGGTTACTAGGCAACTGAAGCTTCATCCATCTGACTCAAGAGGAACCGCCCCCCCCCCCCCCCCCCCCCCCCCCCGCCCAGAAGACAAAGAAGCGGAAACTCAGCCACCCGATGGATTGCGTGGGAGGCCACGCAGACAGGGCACTGGGACTGTCAGTAAGCGTGCTCGTCACAAGGGTCCCGGGCGTTGTGCGCTCGGCAGCACCCCGTGCAGCGCAGCGCCTGGGCGTGAGGGACCCCAGGGGGACACAGGGGCGGAGACCATGAGGAGGGGATGGAGGCAGAAACCAGACCAAGGAAGGCGCGAGGGACCGCACACACCTCCTGACGCAGGTTACCTACCTGTTCTCTCAAGGCTTCTCTGACACCTGCATTTCAGTTCCACCCATTTGTGCAACGCCTCATTTCGAACAACTCCCACGCGGTGTCACCTTCGCCAGAAAGAGGTTTTCTCTCACCCTTGGGGTGGGAAAATCGGTAGAACATAAAAATGACCATTTCAAGCATGTTTACGTGAAGGGACAGTCGCATCAGCAAGTTCGCGCGCGCCCTGGCGCCACCTTCACCGGCGACCCCACCTCCAGAATTCTCCCTGAGCCCGAACTCTATAGGTTTGTTAGCCTTTAATTAAACACTCCCCAGTGCAGGTTCCCCTCCGCGCCTGCTAACGGCTGCGGCTTAGGGAAAGCCACCGAGCAGGCGACTCGGAGACGCGGAACGACGAGGCGCTGAGGCACCCAGGCAGCGACTGGGGAGAGGCACGGCGGCCAAGCAGAAGGGTCTCGTCCGGGGGCGGTGCGTTTTCGCAGGCCCCCCCCCCCCCACGCGAGGAACCGGGCAGATCCGGCGCCAGGCGGCCTGCCCGCGCGGGCGCAGAAAGGCAGCTCCAGTTTAGAGGCAACAAGCCGCTGCTGCTTTTTCCAAGCACGAAGGGCGGGGGAGGAGGACGGCAGAAAAACCTGCACGGCGCACTACTGCCACCTAGCGGCCACAGAAACTGAGCGCCACACGTTGCGAAAGCAAAGCCATCTTTTCTACCACTCCCCTGCGAGGCGAAGTGCAGATCGAGGCTGTGGGAGCTACGTGGAATGCCGCCGAAGGGCAGAGGAAGCCAGAGAACGGCCCAAGTGGCTCGGCCGAATCGGCCGCCGCACAAAAGCCTTTTCGTCGTCCTGCCTCGGAAGTTTGCCAACAGCGGCCGGAAGCCCGCGCCCGGAAGTCCCGGCACCAGGGAGGGAGAATCGTCAGCGCTGCGATCCGATTGGTGCTTTCTGGGCATGCGCGCCGGAGTGGAATGACGTCGGCGCCGGTCGCTGGGCCCGGGCTCCTTAGGGGTCTGCGGACCTGTCAGAAGTACCGCGGGGACGGGGCTATCCCGGTACTGTCAGCAGGTTCCCAGGAGCTCCCACGCCCCACGGGCGACACCTGTACGGGTCCCCTGTTTATTGTCCTCCTCCCCACCCCAGCCAGTGAACACGCCAGTCCCGAAACACACTCGCTGTCCGCCCTCTCAGCCCTCACTCCTCTGATCCCTCCGGGCCCCCCTCAAGGCTCACGAAGATGGCCTCTCCGCCCCAGGAATGTTCTCCTTCTCCCCAAGCGGAGTATCGCCCTGCCCACCCACCTGCCCTGGGCATCAGGAAACGCCGCGCCCCTCCCTGGCGTCCCGAGTAGCTTTCCTCTCACTCAGCGCTCTGAACCGGATGCCCTGGTTGTCCGGCTCCCTCCCTCTAATGCCTCTACATCCACAATATACAGCCTCTTGGGGGCCTCCAGTCCAGACCCCAGGGCCACCTCAAGGTTCACCCCCAATAACAAACACTCCCTTTTTGTATGTGAGCACCAGAGCCTTGATGACGAAATTTTAAAATCTTAACTGAATTCTTTTATGTTAGTTCCACGGCCAGGAGAGAATTGCCTTTCATTTCCACTCATCCTTCCCGCATTATTACAGCTCTCTTCCGGTCTGTTGCAACTGCCTACGAATTCATGGAGAGGACGGTAGCGATCAGGTGGGACTTGCCACAGCTTCCCAAACCCTGTCCTGGCATTCTCTGCCGCCCCTCTGCATACATGCTCCACAGGGCAACCAGCCCCTCAGCTCTGCTCGGGATCCCGCGCCTCCCACCTTCTCAGAGACTTGGCTCCTGCAGTGGAGTCTCCTCTCTCCTGCTCTCTCTACGTGGGAGCATTCCACAATAGAGGGGGGGGGGGGAAACCCACTGCCTTCCCCCAAGTCATCCTGCAGCTACTGGCCCCCAATCTGTACCTTTCAAAGCAAAACTGCTTCAACTTCTCCCAAGGCCGTTAGCTCCTGCGCCAGCTTCAATTAGAGCTTTTGTCCCTCTCTCTCCACTGCGACTGTTCTTGTCAAGGCCTCCCTTAACATCCATATTGCCTGACACCACTCACACTCTGTGCACGTGCTAGGGAAGCTCTGAGGCACCTTTGGCGCTGTGACCATTCATTTCTCCACCTATTTTTTAGATAGATAGATAGATAGAGTTGGGAGGTGTATATAAACTCAATTTCTATTGTATTTGACAACGTGCCAATTTCACATTATGCCCCCTTTGACCTGGATATATGGGAATTTGGGTCAACATGAAAGACAAGCCAAAGAAAGAGTATCCTTTTCAGTCACAGAGGGGGCAAAGGCCCCCCAGAGGAAGTGGCGGCAGAGGTGAAACAGCTCAGACAAGGGACAGGGGTTCAAGAAGTGAGGAGGAGCTCCAGATACAGGAGGGTTTCCCCTCATTCACACGTGGGACTCACAGGGTACACTCTGTACAATGACCCAAGCGCTCTCTTTGAGTGAAGGGATAACTGGAGTGGAGATATATAGCTTTCTGGAGCTGATCTTAGTTCCTGCTATGTTGTAGATGAGATGGAGGGGGGCTGGACTCCCCTATGGGGGATGTAGAATGTGGCTGGGTTCATAACCAGAGGTTCATGAAGGAAGCTTTCACCCGGTAGAGGCTTAGATGACTCTGCAGCTGCACCTGTGGAGGGCACAGTCCTGCCCAGGGGTGGGATGGAGGATGAGACCCAGATGCAGAGGTATTTGCAGATGCCAGCTGAGTGAGGTAAGGCTGAGGCAGCCAGGGAGCACCAGGTCCCCACCAAGAGGAGGGAGACGGAAGTGCAAGTTACACCCGCCTCCGTGCATGGCATCAGCAGCTGGACCTGGGGGGACAAGAGTCATCCTTCCCTCAGAGACCACCCAGGGCACTGTGAGCCACATAGGTGTGTCACAGAACCCCCCACCCCTTTCCACATCATCACACACACCCGTAAGCCACACATACCCTTCCTCATACTGGGGAGGAGTGAGGGGCGAGGCGTGGTGGAAATGTGAGACTGAGCATTCGTAGATAGGGACCATTCAGCGATTGCATCGGACCACGCTTACCTATACCACATTCAATGTAAATGCATGGCTTCCCTCCCCGCTTGCCTTCCAGTCCAGATGAGACTAACGGAACCAAAGCGCCTGGGTGATGCGAGGAGCACGAGTGAGTCTGTGATCCGAGCTCACCATCCCCACCGGCTTTTCCTCTGCCCGCGGTCTGTCCAAGCAGTCATGTTAAAGGAGACTGGGGGTCCTCGTCTTGTCCTCTCCTTTAACTCAGGAAGCGTTTACCATCCACAGACGGACCCCAGGACAGAGGACAGAGAGAAGAGGGGCCCACACAGACACACACAGTGGAGTAGTTGACAAGCGTTGTCACAGAGCTGAGCTGGGCCTCCTCGTGGCCACCCGGCGCCTGCCCTCCACAGGCAATTTCTCCTCGAACAACACAGACGCTCACTTCAGGGCCTGAGTTCTGGATCTGGGCTTCAGAAAATGTGTCCAGAGCCAGAGGAGGATGCCTGGAGGATCGCACCTAAAGCCAGTGATTTTTATCAGAAGAAGGAGAGGTTTTCCCTTCTTAATTGTTTGAAGGTAAAGCATGTGAGTTTCCTCCAGAGAGCTGAGGGGCCCAAGTGAGGACCTCAGTAGTTGCTGGCAGAGCCAGCACTATCCCCACACCCCAAGATCTTTTCCCCCCTCTGCTGGGTGCTCAGAACATCTGATCCTCGAGGGAGGGCCTCCCCAGGTCCGCCTAGAGCTGTCACATCCGCAAGTAGGGACCCGGGCTTTTGTTTGCAGAGACCAGCAATCGGGCACCCAATAAAGGACAAGTCTCAGGCCTCCAGTTGCTGTCACTGGTCCCGTGAGTGTGTTCTCCGTGGTGAGAGCCCAGTAGCTTCTGGCTCATGACAACACAGTCATGCAGCACGAACGGTGTTCGACGGGCTTTCTTTATAGGAAGCTAGAGGACTTAGAACGTACTCGCTTATGCCCACTGCCCCACTGGGTTCCTGAGGCTCAGAAAGTCATGCTTTCTACCCCCCTTCGTCTGAGACAGTGGTGCCCTGAGGCCCTAGAGTCTCTCAGATGGAAACCACGGTCTAGTCCCGAAGAAGCCATCACGCTCTCGTGTCACTCTGGGGAAGGAAGGGGTCGACCTGGAGCAAGGGCTCGGTCTCTTCTTACAGTCGTGGTTCACCGGGCCTCCCTTCCTCATCTGGCCTCCTCTCAGATAATGACCTATCCCTCCCTCCCTCATCCAGCAGGGATAATAAGGAGCTTTGGAAAGATGGGGTTCCCTTCAGAAAGGCGTGGACTCTGTGGCCACAAAGCAATGGCCGAAGTGGCTTTCGGACCGGACCTTGGTCCTTCTCCTGAGAGCGTTCGCCTGAGTTACCGCTCGGCGTCTGACCAGTGGCCCCTGTGTAAGATCTTAGAACAGTCCGGACCTGGGCCACTCCCTGACTTGCAGCCACCCGCCGGAGCCTGCGCCCTGCATCCTCTTCACGGTGATCTGAGGACGGCACTCTGACCCCAGCTTTGCAGGGGCAGAATCACATGGCGCTTCTGTCCTGCGGCTCCATGGCCCAGCCTCTCTGTTCCTCATTGGAAGGACCTGAAAGCCCAGGCTCCTCACCACCGGAGAGGACATGCTGAGGCCAATCTCATGACCAGGACTTAGGTTTACAGAGCATTCTAGTCTATCCAGGCCCCGGCCGCAGACGAGGTTGCCCCGAACCAAGAAACATCTTTGTCGGAGACACCTGGTCTGAATGTCGTGGCCAGATGCCCAACGTCCCCAGACCTGCCACCGCCCCAACCCCCGGCCCCGACACCCAGGGCCCTCAATGGCGGCGCTGCTCTGAGCGTCCCCAGCACGACTCCTGTCCTCAGATGCCACCTCTGCCACAACTTCCCAATCCGTCCCCCCTCTGTTTCACTCTCGTCTGACAACTCAGTGTGGGGCTCTGCCGGGACACCAGCCGTTGAGGCATCTACCTGGAAGATGATGAATCTCTGAAGCCGCTTCTCCGTGGGTCACAGAGGCAGGAATGGGGCGGGAGAGAGGTGATGGAAGACTTGCTCCAACCCCACCGCTGCACGGACCCCACCGCTCTGCCCGCAACTGAAAGACACACCAGTGAGGCTCACCCCAGCTCTCGACTCTGTCATCGAGTCAACGGTCCGCACTATCCACAGGGGTTTCTGGAACCTGCATCCAGTTGTTTTTCAGACCTGCTTTTGGGGACAGAAACTAACATCCTCTGAAAGCACATAGCCACCTGCTTCTACTACCACCCTGTGTCTCTGATTCCTGTCAAGCCAGGTTTCTTGATCGTGTAGGCCACAGTGTGGACTTACTTGGCCACCTCTGGATCCCTCCGCGATGTCCCCCACCCGCGGATCATCCCTTTGCCAAATTCTCCAAAGAGCTCCATGTTGCCAAACCAAAGTACCCAGCGCCGTCTCGGCCACAGTAACAGCCCTCGGTTTCACGATGCTGTGGTTCCTCAGCTTCTGGGACCGCAGCCCACCCTGGCTTTCCTCCTGCCTCCCAGATCTTCACTTCTAAGTCTCCTTGTTGGCCCGTTTCATTTGATCCCGTCCTAAATCTTGTTTTGTTTTTTCCTCCCAGGGTTCCAACCTCTGCTCTGTGCTCTTCTCATTCTATACACGATCCGTGGGCGACGACATCGCCACCCAGAGCTCTACCCCCCCCGACTCGTTTCCATCTGTATCCCCATGTATCCCTGTGGCTTCTCCCGTCAACGAGTCCACCGAAGAAATGCCTGCTGGGCCCCAGATCCCCAGTGGGCTGAACCTATGGGGCATCTGCACTCAGAGGTCCCACAAGCCTTGCCAATCTGCAGACGACCCCAGACCTCCATTCCCTCCTCTCGGGTGGACACCACCATCCACCCAATGCCTTAAGGCAATATCCTGGGGAGGTTGCTAGGTGTGCTCTCCATCGCCCTCCCCCCCCCCCCCCCCCCGCCTCGCCCCGCCTCGCCCCGCCTCTCTGGGACCTGCTCAGGAAAAGGCTATGCCATCATCCTCGCGTTGCCACAGGTGTTCGCAAAGTCGCCTGTGAGGGCTCCTCCTCCGCAGATACACTCTGAGCACGTCCTCACAAAGCTCCTGGTTCGGGTGCGTTCCCCACAGGAATTCCCGAGGACACCTGGGCCCTTCAATACACCTGGGGGACTGACATCCCCATCTTCTGTAAGAACCCCCTGTGTAAACTCGATGAATGAGGCACAACAGTAAGCCCGGGATTTGGAATATGGAGTTGAGTATCTGGAAGCAATCTCTCAAGGAGAAAGTTTGGGGAGGCACGTGTCCTTGGGTGAGCATGAAACAAGGGGCTGCCCAATTTTACTTTTCATCATAAATACCCCGACCTGTTTGGGCTCTTATCTGAGCATGGGAATGAGTTTGAGAACATAAAGTCTAAGAGAAAGTTAAAAAACACAACTCAGTAAACTTGGCAGATAAGCCTGACAGCCGAGCCATTGCCATCAATGGATACAAATCTCAGCCAACGCATTTTCAAAGAATTATTGGGATCTGTCCGATGAAGTTGTCTATTTTCTCCGATCTTAAAGTAGCTAAGCACAAGGGATCTTGACAGGAAATAAGAAGTCTTACGTCTCGTGAGCAAACTTTGTAGGGTTTTAACTTCACACTTTGGTTTTCGGGAACATTGAGAGCAGCCAGTACAATGGC